CTTAGCACTGACTTGTGGTCAAGCACTTGTGGTGTGTTGTACATATCAAAGTCTTGCATGTCCAGAATATATTCAAACTCATCCATCCGTTGCAGGGCGTAGTTCATATGAGCCGCCAGATGACAGTTCAGAAAACACAGCATGTGACCGTAGAATGAAAAACGTACAGACACACCACCTTTATTTCCCTGTGAGAATAAATAAAAATGCATTAGTCCAGCTGCATATTATTACAGTAAAGCCCCAAGTCATACTCACATATTCATACCTCTAAAAGGATAGGTTTAGGCTGAATTTTATTGTATTATTTTTATTTTATTTTATTTTACACAAAACATACAGATTATATACACTGCCATTTTTTATTCAGCAAGGATGCATTAAATTGATCAAAATGACATTAAAGATTATGCTGTTTTCCCATCACAGGAGGAAACATTTATATATATATATAATTTATATATATTTACAATATTACTGTTTTTACTGTATATTTGAACAAATAAATGGCAGGCTTGGTGAGCATTACAGACTTCAAAAATCTTATAAAATCAGTAGAATAACAGTATGAACAGTAGAATAAATATGTCAGTTTTGAAGGAAAATGCTATCAAATTGAAATTAGTGTATAACAGTAAGTGTCTGTGAAATGTAAAGATGTAAAGGCTATACCATACCCAGTATCCAAATAGGCCTGTGCGAGTGTATGTACTTTGGATGTCTCTGATGAAAGGCAGGTGGACCTGCTTTGCAAACAGTATCAGCAGTAAACCCTGCATCCTCACAGAAGTCACCTGAGGACAGCAAAAAAAGCCTTTTCATATGTCAAAGCTTCAGTGCATTTCTCAACACAAACGTCACATGCCGCCTTTGACCTCCACATCAAAACCGACAGCATCACAGAAAGAAGATTTTAGACGGTTTCTATGCAAGAAAGCTATAATAGGCCTTATACAGTGAAAGAAAACAAAAGAGGAAACATGTATTTGAGCTTAGAATGGATAAGTGTCCTTGATACGTTGACGTAAGAAAATAAGGAGATTGGTATTGGAAATTCCTGGGATTTTTTAGTGGAGTGGAATTCAGTTTTTAAAATCAGAGCTAATTAGTCATGAAAGGCAGAATGGGACGGGCTCACATCAAATCAGAGGTTATGGTACACAAATGTGCTGGTGTGAAACAATGCCTCTAGTGTTTTCAATGGCCTGCAGCGAACAATGGAGCTTAACAAGCTTAATGAGGAGACGGCTCATCCTGATTTTGTCTCTCTGTTCTATTGTAACAGTTGCAACTGCATATAAACATATGTATAAGGACACTCAATACCTCTCTGTCTTTCACACTCTCTAAACTGAGATTGCAATGCTGAGACGCACAATCAGTTTTTTATTTATTCTGTACCTTTATATATCCCATTGGTGCCAGGGTATCCATGAGAAGGTGACTCCATGAGTCCTCAGAAATGAGATCAGAGATATACCGCACTGGATTGGCATTCACTTCCTGTAGACTAGAGCACAAACACATCTGCTCATCTTATAAGACAAAACAATGTAAACTTACCAATTGAGAGAGAAATTCATTCTGTCTCATATATATAGTATAAACACACGCACAAATTGGTGTAGGATTTACTTTGAAACAATTTTCACTCTGAAATTGATAATACATTTCATAATAAAGTTGAAAGAACATACTCCAGTAATTTTTGTTTCATTTACAACTTCAATATATATATATATATATACTGAAGTTCAAGAACAGTTAAAGAAAGTAATACTTGTCTTTTATTGAATGAGGATGCATTAAATTGATCAAAAGTGACAGAAAAGACTTTAACATTGTTTCAAATGATTTCTGTTTCAAACAACAATAGCACAACTGTTTTCAACATTTATAATAAGTCATTTCTAAAGCAAACCAAATCAACATATTAAAAGGATTTCTGAAGGATCATGTGACACTGGAGACTAGTAATTTTCAGTATCATGGAGTAATGATGCTGAAAATTCAGCTTTGCCATCACAGAAATAAATTACATTTTAAAATATATTAAAATAGAAAACAGTTGTAATAATGTTTAACAATATTACTTACAATTTTACTGTATTTTTTATCAAATAAATATAGCTGTGGTGATATAAGAGACTTCTTTTTAAAAAATCGTACCAAACCCAAACTTGGTATTGTATGTATTAGTAAATTAACATGTTATTTATTTATTTTTTTTATTTTTTTTTTTTTGTGTGAGTATAAATCTGCTGATCGTGTGATTCAGGTGATGTTAACTCACCCAATCACATAGAGGTCAGTGGCCGGCTGTGAGTCAAGCTGCAGTAATGACCTCACATCAGCTGGTGGCTCCGCTGTGCCAACATTCCATGTGACCATGTGCAGCCTGAACAAGAGAAGAAGACACAAACAGAGCAGCAATGAATGAATTGGGTTCATATAAACTCTGAATTTAATATCTGAGAAAAACTTTGGGGAAAGAATACGAAAAGATAATGTAAAGCTAAAAATGCAACGGACTTGCTAGCAAATCACCAACAAAATCCACACCTTCTATTACTCCAACACAAGTCTATCTAAAACTAATTTTCAATGACTTAGTACACCTGATGGTCTCTCTGTTGGTGTATTTTCCACAGAGGTAAAAGGCTTCGTCTAGCGTACGGGACACTTCCTCATTTGCCTCATCATCTGAGCTGAGATCTTCTAAGCAGACGAGCAACTGAGCGAGCCGCTCGCGAAGAATCATCCGTGATGAAGTAGACTGAGATGCCATGGTGGACGTACTGTCAGAGCGCACACGTGGGACATCAAATGTGTCAGACATCTTTTTGCTGTTCTCCCAAAACAACTGATAATCTGAAGCCTGATTCATCCAAACCAAGAGATCAGCTGAAGTGAGTAGATTTCTTATTTGATTCTCTATCGTATTGCTTGTGTTTTCTCAGCTTCAGAGGTCCAAAAAAGTTCAAATGTCTATAGGTGTCCAAGAGCTGGTTTAGGTTCAGCAGATGCAGATATCCCAGGTTTTGTTCAAGCGACACGCCTACGTGCTGTAGTTCCAAGATTCATATTTCTTCTCAGAAACAATTCATTATCCTTTGACCCCAGAAAGCTAGCAATTGCAATAAATATAACCCTTTTTGTTGATCCACATGTTCTCATTGCATCTTGTTGCCTGAATGGACGAGTGTGTGTAAAAGCATGCGTTTTGGAGAGTGTTTGGGATTATGAAGTGTAATCTGGAGCAGTGGAGAGCCACGTGAATGAGGCCAGGAATACAAAATGCAAAAATCACTAACAGGCCTGATCTCCAAATCACTGTATGTATTGTTGCAGGTCTTTAGCAACGCAAGTAAATGTCCACAGAAGCTAATCCGCTTTATGCAAGAGCTGGCCTCAACACTGTGAATATTTCTTGGACTCTACTAAATAAATAAATAAGGTAATAATTTTGCAACCGATGGGGGGGAGGTGTTGTCTAAGATCTAAATTAAATCTTAAAATGTGAGAGCATAATGCCAAACTTTGTTAACAAACTAGCATTTTTAAATTAACTCTGAGAGAGCTAATTTTTACTTCCTTGGAGTTAAATGTTACTCTATCAGAGTTGAATTAACCTTCTTGCCTAACAAATTCAACAACAGTATGTGAGACTGCGTTCCAGATTACTTGATGAGCACATTTATCCACTGCTTTTAAATTGTGGTTATCTGCGACTTATAGTATTGACGTTTGTATTATTAAAAATGTGTACATATATTATAAATATAAATTAAATATGTATTATTATACATTAAATATTTATGAAAATTAAATTAAATTAAATTAAATTAAATTATTAAATTAAAAATTAAATTAAATTAAATTAAATTAAATTAAATTAAAGACATTTATAATGTTTGAGAATGTTTCAAATAAATGCTGTTCTTCTGACTCTTCTATTTAAATAATTTTCTATGTAAAGAAAATGTATAACCATTTACACTATAATATAACAGCACAACTGTTTTCGACATTGATACTAATAAGAACTATTTATTGAGCAGCAAATCAGCATATTAGAGTGATTTCTGAAGGATCATGTGACACTGAAGACTGGAGTAATGATGCTGAAAATTCAGCTTAACATCACATGAATAAATTACATTTTAAATTATATTCAACTGGAACAAAATTATTTTAAATTGTAATAACATTTCACAATATTCCTGTTTTTACTGTATTTTTTTATGAAATAAATAGTCTTGGTGACTATAAGAGACTTCTTTCATTACAAAATCTTACCGACCCCAAACTCGGCTTTAAAAGAAACATTCAGAGTTGTTCCTGTTCACAAAATCCAATATATTTCACTACAATGATTGTAGTAGTTCTCTAATTCAATTTCAATCCAGTACAAAGCTTGCCAATCAGAGGATGAATGAACAAAACCGTACTTTATTTCTCCATAGGCCCTCAAAACAGTACCCTCTCTAGAGCCAGATCTTGTGAAGCAAATCAAATGCGACCTTGTCATTAATGCATCAATGGTGAACCCCTTAATCTATGCCCCTCTGAGCCAAAAGTACAAGATGTCAAGCAGCAATTCAGAAGCTGGGAACATTTACAATCTCAGTCCATCCGAAACATTTGGCTGAGAAAGCAGATGACAGTAAAAAGGCAGGGAAAAGCTGTGACGATTGGCCACCACACTGACTGACTATGTGACTGCAAGCGGAATCACTTACATGTGCCATTGAACACAGCTGCAGACAGATTGTTGAATTTTAGTAGAAAATCCAACTGAATGAATAAATGCATTACATACCGTACATGGGAGGAAATGACGCACACTAGACTTGCGCTTGTATCGTCTACATGAGCAGCCAAACTCAACCCATGTACTAACTGCATGGTCCCAATTTAATGCATGTTGATTTGTTTTATATTTAAAGTAGAGTGGTGAAATTAAATACATTTGTTACATTATTTGGTTCATAAATTATATTAATACAATACAATACAATACAATTTGGGCATGTATACGGTGAAGATGTCTTAAGTCACACTAAATAGGTCTGAATATCATTGCATTTGATTACAAAATGTCAAACCAAGCCCATTTATTTTAATTCTAAACCATTTAAAGGAATAGTTCACTCAAAAATTTAAATTTGCTGAAAATGTACTCTGCATGAACCCTCAGGCCATCCAAGAAGTGGATAGGTTTGTTTCTTCATTGGAACAGATTTGGAGAAATACATTACATCGCTTGCTCACCAATGGATCCTCTGTAGTGAATGGGTGCCGTCAGAATGAGAGTCCAAACAGCTGATAAAAACATCACAGTAATCCACAGCACTCCAGTCCATCAATTAACATCTTGTGAAGTGAAAAACTGCATGTTTGTAAGAAACAAACCCATCATTAAGGTCTTTAAACTGTTGCTTCTAGACAAAATGCGAGTCCATAATCCATAATAACACTTCCTTCAGTGAAAAAGTCCATCCCCTGTTGTCCTCTCAGATCAAAATCCACCCACATATTTGTTCAGAATTGTTTTTGCTTGTAAATGGTGCTTGATCTGTGCATATTTCTCTCCTGATTCAGACTAAATAACTTTTTCACAGGAGGAAGCATTATTGTGGATAGAGGACTCATATTTTAGACAGAATCAGTGGTTTGAAGTTAAAATGTCTAAATGGAGGATTTGTTTCTTACTAACACACAGCATTTTGCTTCATAAGACATTAATTGATGGACTGGAGAGGGGTGGATTACTTGTGGATTATTGTGATGTTTTATCAACTGTTTGGATTCTCATTCTGACGGCACCCATTCACTGCAGAGGATCCATTGGTGAGCAAGTGATGAAATGCTAAATTTCACCAAATCTTTTCGGATGAAGAAACAAACTCATCGACATCTTGATTGGCCTGAGGGTGAGTACATTTTCATTTTTGGGTGAACTATTCCTTTAACAATGTTTCATTCAGCATAACTAGACTTGGTGACTATAAGAGACTTCTTTCATTACAAAATCTTACCGACCCCAAACTCGGCTTTAAAAGAAACATTCAGAGTTGTTCCTGGTCACAAAATCCAATATATTTCACTACAATGATTGTAGTAGTTCTCTAATTCAATTTCAATCCAGTACAAAGCTTGCCAATCAGAGGATGAATGAACAAAACCGTACTTTATTTCTCCATAGGCCCTCAAAACAGTACCCTCTCTAGAGCCAGATCTTGTGAAGCAAATCAAATGCGACCTTGTCATTAATGCATCAATGGTGAACCCCTTAATCTATGCCCCTCTGAGCCAAAAGTACAAGATGTCAAGCAGCAATTCAGAAGCTGGGAACATTTACAATCTCAGTCCATCCGAAACATTTGGCTGAGAAAGCAGATGACAGTAAAAAGGCAGGGAAAAGCTGTGACGATTGGCCACCACACTGACTGACTATGTGACTGCAAGCGGAATCACTTACATGTGCCATTGAACACAGCTGCAGACAGATTGTTGAATTTTAGTAGAAAATCCAACTGAATGAATAAATGCATTACATACCGTACATGGGAGGAAATGACGCACACTAGACTTGCGCTTGTATCGTCTACATGAGCAGCCAAACTCAACCCATGTACTAACTGCATGGTCCCAATTTAATGCATGCTGATTTGTTTTATATTTAAAGTAGAGTGGTGAAATTAAATACATTTGTTACATTATTTGGTTCATAAATTATATTAATACAATACAATACAATACAATTTGGGCATGTATACGGTGAAGATGTCTTAAGTCACACTAAATAGGTCTGAATATCATTGCATTTGATTACAAAATGTCAAACCAAGCCCATTTATTTTAATTCTAAACCATTTAAAGGAATAGTTCACTCAAAAATTTAAATTTGCTGAAAATGTACTCTGCATGAACCCTCAGGCCATCCAAGAAGTGGATAGGTTTGTTTCTTCATTGGAACAGATTTGGAGAAATACATTACATCGCTTGCTCACCAATGGATCCTCTGTAGTGAATGGGTGCCGTCAGAATGAGAGTCCAAACAGCTGATAAAAACATCACAGTAATCCACAGCACTCCAGTCCATCAATTAACATCTTGTGAAGTGAAAAACTGCATGTTTGTAAGAAACAAACCCATCATTAAGGTCTTTAAACTGTTGCTTCTAGACAAAATGCGAGTCCATAATCCATAATAACACTTCCTTCAGTGAAAAAGTCCATCCCCTGTTGTCCTCTCAGATCAAAATCCACCCACATATTTGTTCAGAATTGTTTTAGCTTGTAAACGGTGCTTGATCTGTGCATATTTCTCTCCTGATTCAGACTAAATAACTTTTTCACAGGAGGAAGCATTATTGTGGATAGAGGACTCATATTTTAGACAGAATCAGTGGTTTGAAGTTAAAATGTCTAAATGGAGGATTTGTTTCTTACTAACACACAGCATTTTGCTTCATAAGACATTAATTGATGGACTGGAGAGGGGTGGATTACTTGTGGATTATTGTGATGTTTTATCAACTGTTTGGATTCTCATTCTGACGGCACCCATTCACTGCAGAGGATCCATTGGTGAGCAAGTGATGAAATGCTAAATTTCACCAAATCTTTTCTGATGAAGAAACACATTTACTTCTTGGATGGCCTGAAGGCGAGTACTTTATAAAGAAATTTTCATTTTGGGGTGAACAATTCATTTAATTTAAGATATCCTAAGTGTTTGCCAGTTGGTTTACATTTCTGGCTTGAAATGATGCACTGAAACGTTTCAAGTGTGGCTTAAGTGTGCGATTACATGTTTGGGCGTTTTGGTAAACTCAGTTCAAGTGTACTATTGACTTTCCCCACCTGGTCTAGCATGGATATATGCACAGCCTAGTCTGAATTGTGCAGCTGCACAGCATCTCGCGGCATTTTAAATGCAATTTTTCCCAAGTGCGTCGGACAACCCAAACACTACAGACTGCAATTTCCAATGCTCAGCTTTTATGCCCCCCCATGTGAATATAAATTTTCCTGCATATTGCCTCAAAATTGCCGTCCTAAATCATTGGCTGATTTTGTAATGAAATGTAAATGGGTTGTAGAGGAAATTTAATCAAGGTTTTAAAGTTGTTTATTAGATCATAACCACCAGTATGATTTTAAAAGCCCCATTAAGTTAAGTGAAATTGCAACTTGTGTGTAGCCTCCAGTGGCTTAACTTTCCAAACGTATAAGTGAAGAAAATTTGGCAGGATGT